AGACCTCTCAGCTAGTCAGGGAGACAGACGCATTAGCAATGTTTGCGGCCCATCAAGTACCTGCCGCAATAGAAGGGCTCACAGGGTACTACAGAAATCCAGAGGAACCTCAGCCTAGAAAATTCAGGATAAGGATTGCCAGAGGAAGTGACCCTTGAATTGAGTCTTGAGGGATATACACAAGCAGAGATTGGAAAGGCAGGGCATTCCAAAAGACATATTTAAAGGTATCATTATGAGAGAAATTATACATTTTGGACACTGAAACTCATCCAGAATGGGCACAGGCCTGGAGAGGTAGAGAAGAGTTATAAAGTGTCTTACAACCATGCTAAAATGTTTGAATTTTACCTTGCAGGCGACAGAGAGGCACTGAAGTACATTAAGCAGGGTCCTGGGGGATGAACAGAATTAGGTTTGTATTTAAGAAAGGTTAGGGAGACTGGCAGGAAGTGTTTCAATTCATTTTACAAAATACCTTTTTTTGCCAGTCAGAGAGTGTGGTCTGATTATAGGAGGCCTACTCATGAATGGGTGGATGGAAATAGGTGTGTGAGAAAATGCACATTCCTTCCGCTTGCCCCCAGCACTGTGTAGGGCAAGTTTTTTATTTTTTATTTTCTTCATTTTTCTTTTTTAAGTTGGCTTAATCAGTTTATCTCAGTTATGCCATTTTGTGACCGTCCCCTGGAAGCTGGTGTCAGCCCCCTTCCACCCACCATGATCATTAACCATAGAACATGAGCCTAACCCTCACAGGGCTGCAGTGGATGGTTAGACGCTGCAGGCAGGGCTGTGGGGTAACTCTCACGAGGCCCAGCATCCTCCAATTCATAGCCCATAAGTTAGGGGACTGCTGCCCTGCCTGGCAGAGGTCACAGCTTTCCCTTTATATAAGCCAAGCAGACTTTTATGGGGAGGTATGAGGTCTCTGATTAGGACTGGATCTGACAAGGCCACGTGTGATATGGTGGTATACCTTGGCCTGTGGGTGGACAGGCCTGCAGGGCCCATCCTGGCTCTGCTGCTGACTTTCTGGGTAGCTTTAAGCAAGTCACTTCTTGTCCTTCAGTCTGTTTCCTAATTAGCATTGCTAGTGAGGTCTCCTATGAGTCCCTCCTGACTCAGACAAGTGCCAAGTTTGCCACCTCTCCTAAATCATGACTATGGCTCTGCGCTTCAAAGGCCGTGGTGTGCTTGCTGCTGGTGGGGCATCTCTCCCCACAGGGCTGCACCTGCCCCTAGTGCTCCCTTCTTAGAAATGGGGCATCCTCCAGGAAGAACCCCTCAGGTTATCAGGGCCTGACTCTGCTCTCCCTGTAACCAAGCACTGCCAGGTACCTGTCCCCTGAGAGGGGCCTCCCTGAAGGCCTTAGAGAAGGTTCCAATTCCTAAGATCTAAGTCATGTGTTATTGTGAACGGAATTTATTTTAGATATAACTGTGAGTCTTTTTATGTGATAGGGAGGTTCTTATATGAATGCTCTGGGGACTGAAAAGAGTGACCTGACAGTGGGCTTGTAAGGACCTTTCCTCCATGTGTAAAGGGAGTTCCACTTGAAGAAGGAGCGTTGTGTCAGTCCCCAAAGTCATGTGATTGGACTGGGACTATGCCATCTCTCTCTGACCGGAAGTAAGAATTGAACGAGAGTATAAATGAGGCTCGTGCCTTGATTATGATTGGAATAAGACAGATGGCTCCCATACGAATGACCCCACCATGTGGAGCAAGAAAGGGAGCAAACAGGGAAGGGAACGAGACAGACTGCCTGCAAATTTAGACCTACCTTTGGGGATGGAAATTTGGTCCTGAAATAGTGAAAATGGTAGAAGAGTAGCTGAATAGATGAATGGAGTTACAGATGTTGCTTATATTTTCCATAATAATTTCATTTTTAATCTCCTTTAAATTTTAGTAAAGTTCATTTTGAAAATTCTAGATTGGCTGTGGTAAAGGAAGCCAAGGAAACTTTTCTTTTTCTTTTGAACCAAGTTAAAAGGGGGAACAAGTTACCGTGGGAACCAAAATAAACCAGAATGAGAATCTGAGGTGAACTTCAAGGGGACAAATTTTGAGTTTACGTTGCCACCTGTCTCTACCAACCTGGAGATTCTCCTTTCAGGGGTATGATCTGCTTATACGTTTTAAAACTCTGTATTTAATAGGCGGGTATTTTGTGTCAAAACATGGATAGCATAAATACTGTTAAAAGTAAACTTACATCCTTTAAAAATGATCCCATTCTTGCAATCCAGTTTTGATCATAGATACTATACATAATGATATTTAAGCCTTTAACCCGCCACACCCACAGAAGTGGTAATAGCAGAAAATGAAAAGTCAAGTAAAGAAAAGAAATTTCTTTATTAAGGGCATCTACACATTAGGATTAAGTTCTGCTTGCTACCTATTGGTACTACACTTCAGCCAGATGAAAACATTGTTAACCTCACCATCATAATTATTGTCAACTAAAAACATTTGAGCACTCACAAAGGACATTGCATTAGCACCACCTATCAAGTTATCAGTAGAGTAATCAAAATTTAGGTTCTCGTATTCGACTTCTGATTAATCCTGCATTGTTTCATCTCAGGGGAAAATATTAAGACTTTGACAGTATTTATTGATCCATCATTACTCTCTGATTCTATTAATTCATTTATGGGCCAAGTTGTAAGATCTCAGCATAAATTCTTAGCTGTGAATGCTTATTCAAATTCTGTTCCTTACCACATTGCCAGGATGAGAGATTAAAAACAGCCATTTTGAATTCTAATTTTAAAAATGGGCTGTAGTTTAAATCTTACGAATATTCTAAGTCCTATGACTCAGTTATAAGATAAATTGTATGAAAGCACTTTGGCCATTTGGAAGGAGACTACAAGTTACCTTTCCTATGTGAAGTCATTCATTCATTCAAAAAATATTTGTTGAGTACATACTGTGTAGCAGATACAGTAAGTAATAGACATTGCAGAGGTAACGGCAAACTAAACAGACAAGGTTCTGCTTTCATGGAACTTAATTCCAGTAGTAGTAGAGAGATAATAGATATACGTCTGGTGGAGCTAAGTGCTGAGAAATAAGATGGTGGTGGTGGTGGTGTGTGTGTGTGTGTGGGGGGGGGTTGCAAGTTTACATTGGATAGTTAGGAAAGGTGACATGAACGAAAAGGGAGACTGTCCTGTGAAGAGCTAAGAGCCTTCCAGACGGAGGGACATGCAAATGCTTCACTGGCAAGTGCTTGGTGTGTTGGCAGAAGAGGAAGGAGTCCAGTATGGGGAACAGCCTGAGAACAAGCAAGAAAGGAGCTGAGGCCAGCGGCAGGGTGCCAGATCAAAAGGGATGTTTTATTTGATTTGCTTTTATTGGGGATGATGGAGCAAATAAACTGAAAAATACGAATTAGTAAATCAAAGCGAACAGACTTCAGGACAGTACAAACAATATATTTAATGTGAAAAGGAAAAGGAAAGGGTGTATGGAAAACCCTATTTCTTAAATTAGGATTCATGTTTTATTGCAGTTATAATGTGATTTTATTGCAATGCTTTTCTAGTCTTTCTCACCAAAAACCCAAAAGAAAAAAAACTGAATTAAAATTCTAAAACTGAATAAAAAAAAGAGGGGAGAAACTATAAGGAGAATGTCATTTGCTGTTAATGTGTACAGATGTTGACACTGAAAAATAGTGTCAAAGAGGGCTGAAAAATAGTACCAAATTCCAAAAATTCAGGATAAGGTTTTACAGTTTTGTACATAAACACGATGCTACTGAAGTAATTTTGACCTATACGTGTAGATATGATTGCAAAGGTGGGATGGGGCGTCTCTTCCAGGTGGCTCTGATAAAAAATGTATCCTGTGCTTTGTTGTTGGAGTCCTCAGTGGTAGATTCTGTGATGTATTTCCTTCCTGATTCTGACAGTTTTAAATCAGCCCTTCCGCTTCCCTTTGAACTAGCAGTCCACGTCAATACTTTATTGTTTTATATTATGTTGTTTTTTCTAGCCACTTCCCCCAGTGGGAGTGTACAAAATAGACCCCTAAATAGATCTCCCAACCACCCCAACTGCCCCAACTTGGCTGTTATTCTGCTGGTGACTTGATCCATCAGTCTCCTGGATCACTTGCTTGTATTGGATTTTCATTATGGAGTTGTACTGAAAATACCCTGAGCAAAGGTCATTTTTGGGGGGGGATGACCACATTTAATGTTGGTGGACAGCACGCTGCTAGCTCAGAGTAACAAACACTGAATCTTCAAATAACGAACATATGCATTACTTGGAGACCCAAAAGCAGGTGCACTTTTCATATGAGCTCCACGGGGGCGGGGACCTTGGCTATTTTGCTCTAGTCTGATTATGAGTTCACATGTCAAGTGCTTTAGATTTGTGTTTAGCTTATAGGTGCTGAGTAAATTGGTTCTTGTTATTCTCAGCACCTAGTAGAAGTTTAATATATGTTGGCTATTAGAATGAATAAGGAATCTACTTTTATCAAATTCCTATTATCGCACCATTCGAAAACGATGATTTATGGCCACGGTGTTGAGGATCATAATTGCTACAGCGCAAACCCATACCTGGAGCACAATAATTATCAGACTGCTGCAAGGCGAAGGGTTGCAAGGGCTGAAGAGAGGCAACTCTTGGTGAGTTTCCTCAAAGCTCTAGAACAACACAGTCACGTTCACCAAGGAATCAACACCCTCAGGCCCGATCTGTGATCGCTTTCCAGCCCCGCAGAGAGACTTCTTACCAAACTTCCACCCCCAGGAATTCCCCAAATCCCAGTTTCAAGGGGCGGGGAACAGCTGGAACCTTTGTCAGGTTCGCCACGCCCCGCCCCTTCCCCCCAGAGCCCCGCCCAGACTGACGTCCCCCTTCCCCCACGAGCTCCCCAAACCGCAACCGGCGCCCCCTCCTCTTCTTCCCCAGGCCCCGGCAACGGCCGGCGCCGCGCTGCGGGGCGGGCAGCCGCTGGCGCGGCGCCGGGACTGACAGGCGAGCAGGACCCCGACGCCCGCCCTCCCCCTCAGAGGTTGCGGGAAGAGCTTGTCACCCCTGGGACTGGGGCGGCCCGACGGAGGGGGAGTGGCCCACCGCGGGCCGGCCTGCACCGGGGGTGAGGCTGCCAGGAAGGGGTTGGGGGCGCCAGAGGGGCCGAGCATCGCTCTCCTCAGCCCGCCGGCCCCCGACCTCCGTCGGCCCCCCTCCTCGCGCCCGGCCGCCCCGCCCCGCCGCGACCCCCGGCTGTCTCTGGAGCCCGACGCGGTAAGTGCGACTTCCTCCTTCGCGTCGGAGTGGGGGTTGCGGCGGACTGGCCGCGCCGCGCGGCCCGCTCCCCGCCCCCGCGCGACCCTCTCGCCCGGCCTCGGCGGCCCGAGTCCCGCTGGGCCCTCCGGGAGGCGGCTCCACGACAGCTGTGTCCCAAGGGGTGGGCTAGGCGGGGACTTTCCCACGCCGCGACCGGGGCTCGAACCCGGGGCCGGCGTGGCCGCGCAGCCGAGCGCCCGGGGGAGGCATCGATCGGACAGCCCTCGAGTTGTGCAAAGTTGCGGCCGGCCTGCTGAGGCGCGGACTGCTGTCCAGGATTGCTGCTCGTCCCCGCACTGTTCTAGGAAAACACACTGGAAACCATTTCAGATTAGTTTTTCATTGTTACCGCAGACTATCATAATCTTAAATTTTAATTTTCAGTAATAGCCTCTTCCGGAGTGTGGAGAATCAGAAAGGGACTTTATTTCCGTTTAAACCACCGTCTCTGTTTGAAACTTGTTTTAAGCGATTCAGTGCATACTTTGGGATCAAAAGTTAAGGAAGGAAGCTCGCTGTATCGAAGAGTAAAACGTCACTGCCATCTTTATTATGGTTCCGTTTGATTTTTAAAAATGCATTTGAATAGTTGATAGGTTCACAAAATTCAAAAGGGACAAAAGGGATAATATATACAAAGTCTCTCCCCGCCCACTCCTGCACCCAGAGCCAACCAATATTACCAGTTCCTTGTGCATCCTTACAGAGTATGTATGCATGTGCGAATGCTCTTTAAATAAATGAAACTTTTGTATATTAGTAAAGTGCCTCGCAGTTACTGGTGCCCAGTAAATGTTCATTTTCCTTCCGTTTAGAAAACAGTTTAATAAAAGTCTTTTTGGTTATTAGACCACTGAAAAAACAATGACTTTTTTTTGGTTTTAAGCATTTGCGGATTTGACTATATTGTGAATGTCTGTGTTCTATTGGCTTGCCATAACTATGTGATAACCTTTACACAAAGGTGAATACACTGATATTTTTGGGTAATGGGGCAGGAATGAAGAAATCGATATTAAATTGTTAGATAGTTATTAATATAGTTCCAAAATGATTTGAAGCAACTTAGTGTTCATATAGTACCATAGTAGGAAAGAAAGAATACAAAGTTTCCGGAAAAGGTAATTCTAAATGCCTCCTAGAGGTGAGTCAGTGGGGGGTTGGGGAGGGGTGGGGGGCGGGGAGGAGGAAGGAAGTTTCTGTGTGTTTCTCAGTCCAAGATAAAAACAAACCAGCTCTTGTGCCTAAGCAAGGCATTTTCTAGGAATGAGGGCGGAGAGGAACATTTTCTCACAAGCCCTAATAAAAAGGGGATTGAGTGATGCAGTTAACATCTTTAAAGTATTCCTACAGAAAATAATGAATTTTAGACAACAATATTTTTCAGTATAGGGCAATAATAAAACTCAAGATAAGTTCTCTGAAGGCTTAATTTGATCTATTTATCAATTTAAAATTACCTAGAACAGCATTTCCCAAACTGTGTCCTAAGAAACTAGAAATCAATAGTTTATTTCTTGAAGTAAAATTCTGAGCTCAAATGTATTTGATGTAGCCGGCAAATTTCAGTATTTTTTTTACTCAATTTCTTGGCTAATGTTCAAGTTTACTCTTTTAGATGGGGATGCATTTTGTGACCTTTTCCAAATTTATTGGACTATAGAACACAAATGTTAAAAGGCCATCTTAACACAAAACTGAACCTGTAGAAATGATGGATTGCCTAGCCTTCAGGTCGTTCTTCATGAGTATTTCTTACAAATGAAGTTTAATAAAAATTGGAAAGCAAAGAGTTTGCAGTTAGCCAATTTGGTAAGAACCAAAGTGAAGATAATCTAAAAGTCAGATTTTTAATATACTACATATCAAAGGTAAAGGCCACTTTACCCCTGAACTCTTTCATAGTTCTTCATTGTTCTGCAAGTAGCCTGCTGGACCAGATGATCTCTAGAACTTCTTCCTATTCTGTGCTCCAGGACACTCAGGGTATTGAATTAGACTAGGTTTCAGCAAATAGAATTCCTTAAAGAATGACTTCAGTTATTCTAGGATGTAAACATGTGATTCACATGTTCTTTTCATCACAAACACTATTGATACTATTTGCTATGAAATCCTAGAATTCTGTAGTGGTAAGAGACCTCAGAAAGCATGTTACATAGTGGAAAGGAATTTGGAGCCATAAAATCTGAGATTCTGCCACTAATGTGCAGAGTTGTTCCTAGCAAGTTTATGAACCTCTCTGAATCTGTTTCCTTATTTGTAAGATTAGAATGATGACAGCATCCAGTTTATTCAATAGATGTAGAGAGTCTAATAGGTACCAGCTAGTAGAAAAAGTTTTAAGATGCAAAGGAAATAATGTATCAAGAATATTTTACTGTCTAAATTGTTTCCATTTTTGAGTGGAATGCAAGAGTTTGGAGGGCAAGGAATATCACCTTATCCAAACGTACTTCGTTCCTGACTTTCAGCTAGCAAGTAGAGAATGTTGGGAGAATGAGGGATTAGTCCAAAAGTTTCTCTGAATCCATTCAGTTCCTGTGTTTGGATTTTGAGAGTTTGGGAATGAGGGACACTTCTATAAGAAAGTATTTTATAAATTCTGCAGTGCTATACAAAATGTTACCATTCTGAAGATAAATGAGGGCCAGTACTATTCAGTATCTTCACTTCAGAGAAAGGGGTTTGCTGAGTATATCATGTAGGGTAAATTATGCTGTGGTAACGAAGAACCCTCACATCTCAGTGCTTTAAAAAAGCAAAGGTTTATTTCTCAGTCACTGTTAATGTCCCATCAGGGTCAGCAGGAGAGCTCTGTTCCAGGTAATCATTTGGAACCCCAGGTAGTAGAGGTTTCATCTCAGCTCATGCTTCCACAATTGTAGAGCCGAGGAAAAGAGAACTGCACACTGGCTCTTAAAGGCTTCTACCTAGAAGTGACACATTTAACTTCCACTGCCATTTCATTGGCCAAACAAGTCAAAATACTACACTTGACTTCAAAGAGGTGGGGGCATGCAATTCTATCATGTTCCCAGCAGGAGAACTAGAATAGTCTGTGGACAGTTGATGGCTACTCTACTAAGCAGGCATTATAGTCTCATGAGTTAATGCAAAATCTGAATTAATCAAATCCAAAGGATGTTTTTCAGTATTTAAAAATAGAAAACAGGATTTCTTTGTGTGCGTATATGTGTGTTTAATCATAGAATTATGCTAATTAGAATTATAAAGAACATCTTTTATTAATTAGAAATGAAAGCTTTTGGAAACTCCACAATTAGACGTACTATTTTGACCTAGTTGATTTCATTCTTTTTTAATTATATGACCATTCGATAAGCATTTGTTAAATGTGATGTGTGTAAGGCACTATGTTAGAGCCTATAGGGATAAAAAGATGAATGGGAAATTTACAACTCCAGTAGAAAATAGCTATAATTAAGTTCTCTCTCTTTTACTTTCTCTTTAAAACAGATCAACAAAATCTTGCAATCTGATAAAACCTGATTATGTATATATACTGTGACACTTTGCCCCTTACCACCACCTTTTTTGGTTTTAGGGATTGTTTGGTGACAAGTTACAGAATATTAATTAAACTAGCTTAAGCAAAAAGAGTGTTTTGTTAGAAGAGGGATATAGCTTTATGTCACAGAGCCCAAGGACAGGAAGTACAGCTGAGTCTCAGAGGCAACTGGCATCAATAATAGGAAGTTAGGAGCTGGGACTGCTTTCCCTCCCAGATCTGTTTAATTTCTTGCCAGCGCCTCCCTCTGTGCATATACTTCATTCCTGTTTTTTTGTGTTGACTGATTTTCTCTGCTGTTCAATGGGTGTTTAAACCCAAGAGTTCACACACTTAAAGGAAGCTAACTAGAGCCTCTAGCAATTATAGAAGAACTATATTTTTTCTAAGTGCCACATCTTAGTTCTTAAGTTAACCACTATTAGAGTTTGGAAATAATGGAGTTGGTCCTAACGTTTAACAAGTTAGGGAAATTGGCAACTTTGTAATAGAGAAAGAGGCAGTTCTAATAGTTTAGGATTAAAAGAAACCTGTGATAACAGTTGACAGTTTGACACAATTATTACCAGTTTGCATATTCTAGTGGGACAGGCTAATTAGGATAATCAGGATGAGAAGTAGAACTGAGACTGACTTGTAACAACAGTGTCCCCTCCCTGAATCCTGACATGTGCCATCTCCATTGTGATCCTTTCATCTGTCCCTTCTCCTCCTCCCTAGGTACATACAAATTACTTAAATGTTGAACTCTTATAAGTTATCTGCTTTTAATGCTGATACAGGGCTCTCTGACTTCTCTCCATGGCTAATAATGCAGGAAGAAGGGAACACCTAATATATACTGCTTTGCTCGGCTCTTTTCTACCATCCATATTGGACTATATGCTCTTATCTGGACATTTTACACTTTAACATTCTATTGCCACTTCTCCCATCAATTTAACCTATTTTTATCAATAAATTTCCATTCTTTTTCTGTAAACTGTACTTAGCTTTTCTAGCAAATATCCCTTGCATTCTTTACCTATTCTATAAAAATATCCATAGCTTCATCTCAACAGATGGCTGATGGGATGCAGTATGGGAGGTAGTACATGTTACCTGGAAGAGAGGATCCCCAGATAAAAGAATAACAACAGAGAAAGGTGAGTGAAAGCTGTGTGTGAGGGTAGGTGGATTTGTCAGGGATATATGTTAGACTAAAAGAGCAGAGAAAAAAGGGGAGGAGCTTGGGTTCAAATTGTAGAATATTTGGACTGTCATTTAAGACATTCTTATACTCTTGTTGCTCTGCACGTAAACTGGTCTTCTTAGGTTCAACTAAACATTCATATTTACAAAACTACCATAGGCTTGTTTACTCAGAAGCATACCACACAGGAAGCACAGCTGGCCAGTGGGGCAGCATCAGGTGTTCCTCAAAAGG